AGAAGTGAAATGATTAGAATTAGAAACAGAATCTACTTGAAATCTCTCACAGCCTTGAAAAATGCACTAGCTGACTAAATGTCCATCGGCATATGCTGCATCTGTATTCTTCCTCCCACCTGTGTTTAGACAGTAGTCGCTAAAGATTCGCCATACAGGTCAGGGCCAAGGTAAACATCCAGCATCAGCTTACACGCTCCTAATCCTAACCTTAACCTGAGGGCCAAAATGCCTACAGACTGATCCTTAAAGACGAGAAAATAGCGAGCCACGCAGAGACGACTGTCTCTTCAGTACAAGAATAACTCCTATTCAGGCAGCTGGGAGCAATTATTTCTGAGAGACGTTAATGCCACGTTTATTAAGCTTCACAAACATGTGTAAACAGGCCAAGTGACATCGCAATTTAGACACCGTCTCAGTGGCAGAGGCACAGAAAGCCGTGCTTTAACTTGAAACAATTTGACATTCAGGGAGCTGATACGCCGTGAAATCTACACATTCCTCTTGATTGAGGAAAAAAAACAGATGGGTAAAAAAATAAAATTAAAGTATGAACCGCTACAGAGAAAAGACAAACTTAGACTGATTGCAGAGACAACCAAATCATAAGGAAAAAAAATCCACATAAAACAAACACGCAGGGATGGAGGCTTATCCATCTGTTAGCTCAGACAGCCATTTACAGCACCTGACTGCCGCCACAGCCTCGAGGCTCGAATGCAACCCTGGCAAGAGTCAAGCTCAGTGTGGAGTGACAGTGTCCTACCAATGCCTGGGGAGCATGTCTCCACCAGATGACACCAGAGCCAAAGGGCCGAGCTTCAGACGGCGGCGAGGACAGATGACATGCATGCCGCTCGGTTCATCTGAGGGAGGGAGGCTTTTTAAAAAGGCTCTTTTGAACTAGGAGAGAAATGCGTGCGCGCTTGTGTGTGTGTGTGTGTGTGTTCGTGTGAAAGGTAGTTGCTGTCAGCCATGCAATTAACGAGAGGCCCCCTGATAACCGCACTGGCATACGTTCGTCGCCACGCAGCAGCACAGGTGTGTTGTGACACTTGCAGACAGGCGACCGCACTTATCCGGCGCTCCCAGCGGTCTTCATCAATCTGTTCCCCTTTTCAACAACAGACACTTGAAGACATCACATACGCTCACATGGACATCAAGGAGAATACCACTTGAATTAAGAATTTAAATGTTATTTTTATGGCCGAAGACAGTCCACTGAACATTTATGACAACTCAACATCGAGAAACCAGAGAACTACAGCTCTATTTGCATCCGGCTTATACCGCGATTTAAATATAAATGATGCAGTTATCTTTGCTTCTCAGTCATTCAAGCTAACTGAAGCACTACCTGCTCTTATGGTTGCAGCTCACTTTAAAATAACATTACACATTAAAATATCAACTATAAAAGTGATTACATTTGTAATGTGCAATGTACAGTCTCATAGGATTGACTGTAAAATTTTCAAGATTCACCTCTTCTGAATAAACAAAAGATTAAAATTCTATTCAAGTCCGGGTGTGCAAAGATGAAAAAATGTATATAATATAATATCATCTGGAAATCTGGTTAAAAAAATAAGACATTTGCATTTATAAATAGAGTCTGGTTAGAAGGCTTGGGTGGTATCAAGCTATAAAATGGTATGTAGGTATATAGATAGAATGCTCCTTGTTCCAATAAGATGACACTGATGTGCCATAGTGAGATGATATATTGCAGTGCACTGCACCAAAACACCACCTAAGCGCAGCTTCTAATGAAGGAACATCCAGCTGAGCTCAGTGAGCTGTGAAACACGGGGCTGCAAGTCGCAATTGAAACGTAAATAGTAAACTTTAAGTATTTTGGGTTTAGTCCTGTTGACAGAAGAGAGCCAGCCAGCACAAACAACAAATGTAGACTATTTGTTGATAGAAGAGTAAACACAGCAACACTTCTGGATCTACATTTAGCCCACTGCTGATGGTCTTCTCCCGTGACAAGAGTCATCAGGGCCTGCAATAAGCTGTGGAAGAAGTTACGAGCTTCCCAAACTAAAAGGAAGAAAATGATCAGTGTAGCTAACAATATGAGCGCTAGCATAAGCAGCCTTATTGTTAACATGCCTGTACTGAATGTGGTCATGCTATGCTGTGGTCCAGCAATTGTCAGTTTATCCTGCTATTACACGTAACAAATGCAGAAGCCTGGTATGTGCACTGCAAGCAATCTGGACTTCTAATTACACAATGGAATTTATATTTAATCATCAGTTATTTTCTATTAGTTGTAAGCTCCCAGTCACATTATCTCGACCTAATAGGTCCCCTCACACGTACAACAACTGCTCTGGAGGCTTCGTATAGACACCCGACACTAAATTCAAATTCAACTGTTGTCTAAAAATTGACTGTGCTCGCACAAACAGAAGACTTAAAAGTGTATCTTTGAGAGCGCATGCGTATTGCTTCGAGCGAGCTGGGCATACCAAGGGGAGCCTCGACAAGCTGAGCCGGGGGTGGTGGTGTATTGGAATGATACGGGGGATGGACATACAGACACCTCTTTGAAAATGATACACTGCCCTGGCTGGCAGCAAGCGCCACTCCAGATCCCCTCAGACAGGCAGAGAGGATGCCAAGCAGTTGGGATTTAGACTGTAATGAGCATGGCTGCGCACACACTAAGACACACACACGTGCACACACACACTCTAAGTGGCTAAGTCGACTCAACAATGCAGCCAACTGCAAAGATAACACGGATGTGTGCGAAAGAGATGAACAACAAAGCAAAACTGATAGACCGATATGAATTCCTGGCCAATGCATACCAGCATAGTCACATACTAATACCAATTAGGGTGGCCATAGTGAGGCTCTATTTACACTAAAAACACACAAAAGTACACACAAATAAAAACCTACACTTATGAGGACATTCCCCTCAGTCTCCTCCTAAAACCTACAGTGGGGCAAAAAAGTATTTAGTCAGCCACCGATTGTGCAAGTTCCCCCACTTAAAATGATGACAGAGGTCAGTAATTTGCACC